CCTCAAATCCTCAATCAAAACTCTCCAAAACTCAAGCCCTAACCCCTTCAACTTCTCCTCAAATTCTCACTAATTCCATAATTAAATAGTAGAAAAATCATCACAAACACAAATAATAAAGCCCAAGTAACTTACCCCACTAAAAATTCTTGATCCTCTTGAAAATCACTGCCAAAAGCTCAAATCCCTGCCAAAAATGGTGAAGAATGACCAAAAATTTGCGAAGGAGCATTTATATACATTCTGCCCAACACCTCCGCATCTGCGGTCCCCATTACGCATTTGCGGGGCCACATCTGCGCAAACTTCTTCGCTTCTACAGAATCTCATTAAAAGGGCATTTCCGCTTATGCGGTTGCCTGACCGCACCTACGGTCATCATAGATGCGGGGACCAAACCGCACCTGCGACCACTGTTGTGAACCTGCGCTACATAACCTTTTTTGCGGACCTCGCACCTGCGGTCCCTAATCTGCAGGTGCGGAAATGACATAAGCAGCAACTTGAGCTACTCAAACCAAGTTCCAATCCTTCCGTTAACCATTCGAATTCATCCCGAGGCCCTCGACCTTAACCAAAAATACCAACAAGTCATATACCACTATTCAAACTTATTCAAACCTTTAGAACACTAAAAATGACATCAAAACACCAAATCACTCTCGGATTCAAGCCTAAGAACCTTTAAACTTTCGATTTCTGCAAACGATGCCGAAACCTATCAAACCTCGTCCAAATGACCCGAAATTTTGCACACGCATCACAAATGACGCTACAGATCTACTCCAACTTCCAGAATTCCATTCCGACCCCGATATCAAAATTTCTACAGCCGACAGAGAAATACCAAAATTTCAATTTCGCCAATTCAAGCGTAATTCTACCACGGACCTCCAAATCATATTCCGGACACGCTTCCAAGTACAAAATCACCTAACAGAGCTAACCAAATCACAAAAATCCAAATCCGAGATCGAATACTAAAAATTCAAGACTTAGTCAAACCTTTCAAATTTAAAGCTTCATGCTGAGAATCATTCTTCCATATCTACTCCGATTAACCTGAAAACCAAAACCGACAATTTACATAAGTCATACTACATCATACGGGGCTAGTCATGCTCGAGAACTAGCGAGCGAAGTGCAAATGCTCAAAACGACCGGTCGGGTCGTTACAGAGAATCCTAGCGCTCTGAATCGTCAACCTGTAAATCATTACCTGCATCGTGAGATGCAGACCCCGGGGTAAAAGAGACGTCAGTACATTTGAATTGCACTGGTATATAAAGCAACTAAAAGAAAGAATTATAAATGGTGAAACTGAAATTATAGCTGTTGAAACTGAAACTAAAATAATAACTGATAAGTGAACTGAACAAAGAAAGTAAGGATATGAATATTCCCTCTTCTGAATGATGAACAACATGTTTATCTAAATATTAAACTGCGGCCTCAGGCCCAATATATATATGTGCACAAATTGCGGCCTCAGGCCCAAGTATACGTATACATAATTGCGGCCTCAGGCCCAAAGATGCATAAAGCATAAACTGCGGCCTCAGGCCCAAAGATGCATAAAGCATAAACTGCGGCCTCAGACGTATTGTAGGGAGAATTATTAACATTCCCAAACATAGAGAGTTAGACTCACATACCTTAACTTCCTACTTTTGAGCGTAATACAACATTCGCCTCTTTGAGTGACGACTCTTAATTTTAAAACAATGTGTAGACATTGGAAAGTATGCAAATAATTGAATACTTTAAATTTTAAAACAATGTGGAGACATTGGAAAGTCAGGTTAGACAATATCAATAATTTGACCAATCTACCCATAATTTTTCTTAAGTTGTGTGGGTTTCCTGGTATTCAACAGACGGCTATACATACATAAAAACTGAAGGAAATAATAATATTTGTGTAAATAAACTTTGCAAAGTTACTATTGGATAGAAATATAGAATCAAAGATAAGAAATAAACAAAGACATCTTAATGTAACTTCAATCTGAAGTCACGACCCAAGTCCATGACGTACGTATTGTCTGCGTTGGACTTATGCCCATACGAGTTTGTTTTTTGAGCTACACCACCTCGATCCCCAAAAACTTATACAGCATGTGAACTACTAGTGTCATGCCTTATAAAGCTCTTCACTTTCCTCTTTCCATTCCGTTATGGGATTCGTCTAAGGTAACATATGCACTTATTCTTCAGATGCTTGCCAAGCCTGTCAGTCCTACTCGACCTGCCCTCCGTCGTGGGCATCACAACTTGTAGGAAATATTGGGTCCACCCATAAAAGGGTTCTCTAAGGCCCAATAGGGTTCTTAGTTAACCCTAATATTCCCTATATAAGTACATTTAGTGTTGACATTAAAAATACTCTGAACAGTATTTTTTTTTACGCTTAGTCTTCTCCCAAAATTAAACTTTAGGGTTGCTCCAACACACCGTGACAACCACCGCCGACCAATAATTCTATCTGTTTTCGCTTCCGCTTCACGAAAACAAGTAAGTTCTTGTTTTACGACTTACGCACTATCTAATGTGTTTAGATTATCGCGTGTTTCTTCATTGGTATTAGAGTCACAGGCTGATTTTTCTATCCGAAAAATTGATAGAATAGTTGTAATTCTTTTCTATGTGTATCTAGAACTATGTGTTTGTTTATTTTGAATTTTCTGTGCAATTGGAAGTGGTTAATCTATTCAACTTTTGAATGATATTTTCTTATCAATTCAAATAGAAATCAGTTTCTAGAATTGAAGAAAATATATACGTAAGTTGAATTTAGATCTATGAATATTTTATTAATATTCTGGATGTAATTGACAACAATTTTCGATATTGATTTGAAGTTTTGAATCAATGTTTGTTCAAGCTTAATCTGATAATTTTTTTAATCAATTTTTCAAAATTGATCCAAAACAAAAAAAAAATGGAGCTTGGTGCTCCGACAATGGTAGCCAGCAGCGACTATGAAGGGGAGAAGAAGAAGAATAGACCAAGATTCTCTCTCCCAAAATAGAAGCAGAGGCTTCAATTTTGTTTGGCCACTGCCAAGAAAAAGAGAGTTAAGATTTGGAGCTTTGTGCTCCATAGTTGACGGTTGTAAGGACTTAAGGGAAGAAGATGATGAAACTAAGTTTTATTTCTTCTTTCAAGTCAAAACAGATAGTTAGAATATTTTATGTTATTAATTAAAAAACAAAAGAGATTGAATATTCATGGAGTTTGGTGCTCCAGATCTTTGCGGCTGTTGATGCTAAAAGGAGATAAAGGTTTCTTTTCATAAGTCTTTCATAATAAAGGATACAAGGCGTAATTCCTTGTCTCTGAAGTTGACAACAACATTATTGGGTTAAAGACCCATCTCAAAATGGCTTAAAATTTTGAGTTTCTTCTATGTTCTAAAATGGAAATTTTACCACCTATAGAATAGGTTAGTATNTCCCGATCAGTTCCAACAATTCGGCAATACATGTTTTGGCTCATTTCTTCAAATGAAGCGATTTAATGTTCAACATCAACTCTTCAGATGCTTCATGGCTCGACAGTTAAATGGCACTTNTTCATATGTATTCATGTGTATTTAGCGTTTGCTAATGTATATTTGCGATAATTCAATTGTCCAGATTGACCTCAAATGTATTCATATGCATTCATATGTATTCAGTTGTATTCATCTTAAGTATTTTGTATTATATTTGTATGTTACAAAGTATGTTAGCATATATTTAGCCTTGTCACTGTATCTAGTCTTCTGTAAGTGTTTGTAGTTGTCTGACATGCATTTGGCTTTGTCACTGTATCATGTCTTACATGTATTCCAAAAAATCTTAATATGTATTTTTGCAATGTATTCATCTGTATTAACATGTATCTTTCAATGTTCATTGCAGGGAATTGATTTGTTTGTGAAACACCAGCCAAAATTAGCACCCCATATTAGTAGTTACACTAACACTGATATAGTATCCCAGCTAAAAGATAAGCTTACTCCCGATCAGTTCCAACAATTCGGCAATACATGCTTTGGCTCATTTCTTCAAATGAAGCGATTTGATGTTCAACATCAACTCTTCAGATGCTTCATGGCTCGACAGTTAAACGGCACTCCAAACAATGTATTTGCAGTATACGTCAATGGTACTGAATTACATTTCACATTAAGGGAGTTTGCGCTTGTGACTGGCCTCAAATGTGTAGGTAAAGATGAAGATTTTGAGTTTAGTGAAACTCCTCCTAACCGGCTTATTGCGACTTATTTTGGAAGTGCTAATATTGTAAAGAAGAAACACTTGAGACAATGCTTCAATGACAAGGCATGGGGCCCCGACAATGATGAGGATGCTTTGAAGATATCTTTGTTGTATTTCATCCACACCTTTATATTTTCATCTGAGAAGAATAGTGCAACTATACCGAGGCTAGATTTTGACTTAGTAGAGAGTGGGCGCTATTCTGAATATCATTGGGGTATTAAAGCATTTGAGCTGTTGATAAACTCGATTAGCAAGAAGATGGATGCTTTGAAGAAGTATTACAGGATAGCTGGGATGCCCCTAGCTATGCAGGTGTGGTTTTATGAGTGCTGTTCTTCTGTTGATTCCAAAATTGTAGTCCGAGTCTGCGACGTGGTCCCCAGAATACTCAATTGGAGAACCACCGGAAATCAGCAGACATTTTTTTATCTGACGAAAGGCATGTTCAAAGACACCGGAAACACGGTAATATACAAATTTTATCAATATTCTGAAGATAATTGAACACAAATACATCTATAATTTGCATACATTTGCATTCAGTTAGAGGGGAAGCCTACTGTAATATACATTGGATTCATAAGCTTATATACATGAATACTTGCATACATATTAATACATTTTAATACATTCTAAATACAACAGAGTTAAATACACCTGAATATAGCATTATACAGTTATGCATTAATATGTTTTTTGTAAGTCATATCTTATTTTTGTTCACAGATTGTGTTTAAGGACATCACTCCTCTAGATATAGAGCTTGCTGTTATTCAGATTCCTCAAGTGTGCGCCGATATTGTGAAAATACCTACTCATGCGCATTCAGACAAATCGGGATAGGATACGGATGACTTTTCTCCTACACCCAATCTTCAATCTAAGAAGAAACATGTTGAAAGTGTTGGTCCATCTTCATCACCGCCACATAAGAAGGTCAAGGAACAACCCAAGATTCCTACAAAAGAACCAGAATATCAGCCCAAAGTCCCTCCTGTTTGTGTTTCTGACATTGGACATAAACTTGTGCATGACCATCAGCTCCCAGAAGGCCAAAATGAGGAAGTATCTTCTTTGAGGAAAGACCTAAAATCATTCAAAGAATACGTGAGTATTTACCCACCGATTAATCAATAAAGTTTGATAGCTATGTGTTTTAGTATTTTTCTAACTATTTTGTACTGTTAAGGTTGTTGGAGAGTTCAAGTCTCTAAGGACATTGATCAATGATAACTTCAAGATGCTTTCAGACCAACTTCAACAAAATCAGCAAACTGAACCCATAGTGAGACATGATGGTGGCATTGACACAGATGTCGGAGATAATAATGAGGTATAAAAGCAGTTATCATATTGAACATATGTATTTAGCTGTATTCATATATGTTTTAATCTAGCCATTTTACTGATGTATTTAACTGTTATTCAGCTCTATATATATGTATTCTGACTTTTAAATCTTAACATATTGAGCATATTTTTTAAAATGTATTCATAACTGTGTTACACTTAATCTGTAATATCACTTTAAACTTCCGTATTTATTTTTATTTCAACTGTATTTACATGTATTCTGCTTGGTTAATCTGCATTTTCTGTAATGTATACTAGCTACTTATATGTATTTAATCTTTTTTCTAACATTAAGTTACCATGCTAACAATGATACATACAACTACCAGAAAACTATTTCAGAGGTACCGTCCATCATACCATCTACCACAAACCAAGAGGATGTATCTAAAGAATTCTATGTTTCTCAATTTGAACTGGACGACAAGTTTCTACCCAGTCAAATTCCAGAAACTAGAATAGTTGTTCACGCAAGTGCAAAAAAAGATGAAGCCACACTAGTGCAACCTCAACGAAATAGGCGACCAAGTAGATGGAACTCTTCGCCTTGTCAGTCTAACTTCGACTCAGGAGGTAAGTGATTTTACAAACGTAATAATCAGCATTCATCGTGATTGAATCATTTATAGTAGTCCATAAACACAAATTCAATTTACAGCATGTTCCTCTGTAAAGCTGACACTCATCTTTGAAAAAAGACACCCGTTTGAGGAAGATCCAATAACGGATCCACATCCTCTGTTACTCATTCAAGAATATGACAAGTGGGTTCGTGAAGGTCTTCTAGCAAGACATGATCAGAAGTGAGTTTTCCCCCGTTCATTGTATTATGTTTTCATTTTTTTAAGATATGTACATAATGAGTTTTATATCATACTTGTAGAGGTAATCTCGACGACCATTACAATAAAAACAAGTCTATACTTCACATTCCATTGGATTTTGGAGTTGATCAAGTTGATTCCAAAAACTGGTTTTACCTTCTATCCATTTACGGGAAGTTATGGGATGACAATGTGAGTCTTTCCCAAAAATGATAATTTTATCTTTAAATAATAACATGTTGTTTTATTAACTTGTATTTAGTTGTATTATTCAGCTGTATTCAGCTGTATTTTTCTCTGATTTCCTATGTATTCAGCTATAGTCAATTGAATTGAACTGTATTATTAACCTATAGTTAACTTTATTGAAACTATTGTATTCAACTATATTGAACAATTGAATTACATGTATTCATCCAATGGCAGTTAAATTCAACTGTTTCAACCAGCTGTCCAGATCTGTATTCAACTGTATTACAGTGTATTCCACCAAAGTCAGTTAAATTGAACTGTATTATTAACATATATTCAACTTTATTCTACATGTTGTATTCACCTATATTAAGGAATTGAATTAGTTGTATTCATTCAATGTCAGTTGAATTCAACTGTAGTCCATAATCTGAATACAGTTGTATTCACCTGTATTACAGTGTATTCCTCTATTTTCTGTATTCATTTGTATTCAACTTTTTTTTAGCATCTGTATTGAGGTATTCATATATATTATTTCTTAGTTCAAGCAAATAAACTCACACTATCTACCAACCTCTTTTGTTTATAGCATATGGATGTCATATTCTACTATTTGCGAAAGATGGGCAAGTACAATCAGCATAGGGACTTCACGTTTACTACTGTTGATTGTATATTCAAGACAAGAATAGAAGAAATATATGACAGGTATGAAGATACAGATAGTAATGCTAATGTAGCAAAACAAGAAGACGTTGTATGTGAGTATATTAGGGGCTACAGATTGCATGCTAATGTACCCTGGCATACAGTGGATAATGTCTTGATACCAGTGAACTTGAAGGAAAAACTTCATTGGGTGTTGGTTGTTGTGACTTTCAAAGATAGATGTATCAAAGTGTACGACTCGTACACGTCTTCCGGTCATGATGCATACGTAGTCTCTGAGATTGTAAAGCTAGCTAAGCTATTACCTCTGTATCAGTCAATTAGTGGATTTTACAGAGATAGTCAAGGCATTGACTGGTATGCTTATCCCGCATACACAAACAAGGATCATAACGAACCTTTTGAAGTTATCTTCGTTCCAAATCTGCCTTAACAGAAAGCGGGCAACATANTACAACCTCCTCTGCAACATGCTCTGGTATATTCCAGTCATTTTTGTCCGGTAGCGGGTACACTGGCACATCGTATGTCATTACAATTGTACTTGGCTTGTAATAGCTAGAGCAATATTCTTCAGGCATTAAAAACTTGCTCTTCAATACAGCCCAGGCATGTGGGCATGGCAATTCATCAATTTGGAATCTCCCACAAACACATTTTCTCTCGAGCAGGCAGACTGTGTAATTCCTCCCACCATCGTTAACAGTATGTAAGTATTCAGTTGAGGGTACCACCTACATTTAAAAACAGAAATATAAGTTTTGAACACATTTACATGAATTAACAAATATATACTACTGAGTTAAATGGTTACTATCAACTTCAAAAATTGCAACTTCATCCAATTTCAGTTAAATTCAGCTGATTCCAGCAACTGTATGCAACTGTATTACTCTACAGTCTGCATTTGTATGCATTTGTATTCAACTTTTTTTAGCAGCTGTATTCAGGTATTTCCAATCAATTTAAACTGTATCAATCACCTGAATTCCATTGTAATCATTATCACGTGCATACAGTCTTAATAATAACATGTATTTACCTGTATTCATCTATATTATTTACTAGTTCAAGCAAATATTCATAAAAATTAACGGATAGTTCTGCCTAAAAAATATGTATTCAGTTGTATACAACAATGCCATAAAAATTAACTTACAGTCATACGGGTACACATGGTCTCATTCAACTCCAGCATTTTCTGGTATTTTTTCCCAAGCGTCTTGTATGTCTGAGTAGCTTCTTTACGGTTACTACAATTCCAACGACCAAACATCTTCCTAAGTTCTTCGAGGAAGTCATATATTGGCAATTCCCTTGCTGAAACTAGTGTTGCATTGATTGACTCAGCGATATTTGACGTCATTGTCCATCCCATGTTAACAGGTGCATACAACCTAACCCACTTTTCGTAACCAGCTAACTCTAAGTATTCTTTCACCCTAATATCTACCTTCTCAACCTTCTCCATCAGACTATCAAATTCAGTTTGTGTGTATGCTTTTGCCATCGAGAAGTATATCTCACTCAACTTGGCATGACTCTTTTTGAATTTCTTGTATACGTTATTCCATAGATGCCATATGCAAGCACAATGCGGTAAATCCGGATATACTCTCGATACAGATTTAATGATGCTCTCATTTCTATCCGAAACAATGCACATGTTTTCCCTTACACCGTATGCTATCTTGAATTGCTCAAAGAACCACGTCCAAGCAGCATCGTTCTCTGAATCAATAACACCGTATGCTAGTGGCAATATATGACCTGTTTAATACAATTGAATATAATTGTTTTTAAATACATGTTTTCCAATGATTTAAATATTAACAAATTGTATTATTATTGAGGTACTCACCTGCCCCATCCAACGTGCTTGCAGAAACGAATGTCCCGGTGTAGTAGGATTTTAGATGACTTCCGTCCACTACAACAATTGGTCTACAATGATCAAACCCCCTTATAAATGCATACAATGATATATACACGTACATGAATTCATTCTTTGACGATTTTTCAATTCTTAGGTGAGAACCTGGATATGTCTTATCTATTGTATATAAGTATCCTGGTAATTTTTTGTATGAATCAACCGGTTCACCTCTAAGAAAATTCATTGCCTTTTCTTTAACCCTCCACGCCAACATGTAGCTAACATCAACACCTAGATCTGATTTCACGTCATCAATAATGTCCCTCAGAGTGTATTTCCTCTTATGATTTGTAAGCTTTGTCCTTATAATACCACTTATAAAGCTGCTACTAGCCTGCCGCTGCTCATACACTTTATCCTTCAGCGGACATGTATGGTTGTCATTGAATTCTCTCACCTTGAATAATTCCGATTTGTTAATGCTTCAAGCCTTAAACCTCCAATCACAATCTTCTGAAATACATATTAATACATAGCTGGAAAGAAAAGTTCAAACATCAGACAACTTAACGAATCTGACATATATACTTCCTATTCATAAAGTACCAAATTGATATCTGTGTATATGTAATTTTGTATACTAACGAATTCCAATGTTAGATGTGATTAAATACAATAAATACAATTAAATACATTCGTATGAATAATCAAACACTTAGTAACATTATAGACATAATATGAAAATAATCATAGCCACTGTTGTATTTTTTCAATAGTAAAATACACCTGAATACATATTATTAAGAATACTAAACAAATATAAATTTTCAAAGGTGTTCATCATCTGGAGGAAACACACAAATACAACTAAATACAACAAAGTTAAACAAACATCAAACCTGACAGCATTAGACCGATCAACACGGAATTGAAACCTTTGAGCTATAGCATAATTCTCCATCACCTCTTTCAATGTAGCCTTATCCTTATAAACTTGTCCAGCCATAACCTCCTTTTGATTAGTTTTTGAAATTATCAAATCCTTGTGGAGTTCGAACACTCCAATCGCTTCTCCTGAATTGGCAAGTTCTATAGCTAGTGTATCATCTGTATCGGAATCGTACATTTGAACTGCTTCGTCTATCTGCACAATGTCGCCTTGATTTAAACCATCTCCGGAGATAAGCTCTTTTTCCATAGTTGTAATGCACAGAGGATACATCCCAAATTCTCTGTTCTCTTTTTTCAATTTTACATACACTCTGTAACCCATATCATTGTGTATTTCCATTGGCGTGCGATTGCCTTCAACATTGTATTGTATTTTAATGGTATTTGTGCTCAAATCTATACCCAGTTGATTAGAAATTGAACCAACTAGATCATTAAAGGAAGCATACTCCTTAATCAGTATTCCCTCAATGGAAAAGTCGATATAATTGCCCTCATCGTTCCACTTTCCAGAATGACGCAACAAAACTGTCAAGCTTGCCATATATATAGAAGAGTTATACCTTCTTCTGTATATAATTTGTCGCAATCGATAAGGAGGAGAAGAAAATCGCACAATATAGAAGCAAGTTGCTCTGTTTCTTCGCTTCTTTCACGTTTCTGTATTTCTGACTTTGAGAAGAATACAGATTGATGGGATAACTTTTAAGTTTGTTGAGTAAAATTAGGGAAATCAGAATTGATTTGATTTCCTTCTGTTTTTAACATCTTCGTCGATCCAGATATTGCGCAGATACGTTACGTATTTAGCGCTACATACGTTTGAATGCAAGTAAATACATATCAGGATTAGCTGGATTTCCTTTTTGTACGCCGCTAATTTTTGTTGTATTATTAAATACACTACCTTAAATACATTAAATACATTATATAATTGCTTAAAAGATATCTATAGGACGTATTATAGCAAAGGGTTTCTATTAATGGCTAATTAAGACTAAAAGATGGTGCTTTGTGAAAAATTCTCAAATTTTAATGGGCTAAAGGCCCACTTCGAAAAGCAATAATTTCTGCAATTTATTAAGTGAGTAGATTTAAGAAAAGAAGGAATTTTTATATTCCTATTCTAATAGGAAACCTTATTACCCTCATTGTTTAAGGTTTGACTTAATTACACTTAGTATACCAAATTATCAATTCTATACCATAGTGTATTTTAAGGGTTCAATTAATGCAGCGTATATCCCTCCTTAATTCAAGGTAAGTATATCTCACCCCTCCCACGTTTCTCTCTCTCAAACCCTCACCCTCTTACAATGATTATATCTATGGAAAAGCAGTTTTTCCCATGGTTCGTTGTAATAAGAAAAAATTCATTACAATATTTATTCACTTGATGTTATACATCATTCTCTGAAAGTACAAAAAGTTACAGATATTAAGTTAGTCATTTAACATGATCTGTCTGGAGAGAAATCAGAAAATAAAGCTTAAGGGAAGCGGCGGCCAGTCCATCCCGTTAGCTTCTTATAAAAGAGCCTTCTCTTTTCTGAGAAGCTAAAAGTTAGGACTTAGGGCCAATCAAATATGTTATTTGACCAAAAAGTTACTTTCTTAGAAAAATTAATACAAATATTCTCCGCAGAATTATTAACAAAAAACTAATCTGAAATCTCCGAACATTGTTGCTTTAGTAAACAGAAAACAATGCATCTACAATCAGAATACAAATAATCTACAATTTATCTATAAAATATCTACAAACTGGGTATATTGAATTTTAATATCCCAATTCTCATTCGATTGTAGTTTAATTGGGATTTTCGACATAATTGTATTTTTTGCAGAAGATTTGTAGAAGTTTTAGTCGTTTTTGATTTGTGAAAACAGAAAACAAAGCATCTACAATTAGAATACAAATAATCTATAATTTATCTACAAAATATCTACAAACTGGGTACATTGAATTTTTATATCTCAATTCTCATTCAATTGTAGCATAATTGTGATGTTTGACATAATTGCGTTTTTCCAGAAGATTTGTAGAAGTTTAAGCCGTTTTTTATTTGTGAAAACAGAAAATAAAGCATCTACAATCAGAATACAAATAATCTACAATTTATCTATAATTTCTGCAATATGTCTTCTTCTTCTTCTTCGAGTTTCAATCTGAAATTCAGTCAAAACTAAGTTTAATCTTCACCAAAACCCCTCAAAATTGAGATATAAACTCCAAACCATATTCCCGATTATTTTCAACAACACCCAATCCAAACAAATAATGATTTTTGAAAACCCAAATTTGAATTCAAAGCTTTCAAGCTTTTTAATGGTTGTCAATGGTGGAAAATATCTGGAAGAATATTTACTTCCATAATTGTAGTGCGCCTAAATAGGAATAGTTGGAAGAATATTTAGTTCCAAATTTGTAGCGCTCCTAATTAGGAAGGAATCAGCTCCTAATAATTGGTATTTAATGAATGGTATATATTTTGTAAAATAACTGTGAACATGGCGAGTAAATATGAAACTATGCACATTTTTAGTAATAAGGTTTTATATATGGTATAGGATGAAAAAAGTTTCATTTAAGAATTTGGGCTTATGGCCCATTTTAAAAGTTGTCATTTTATTTTGGGCTAATGGCCTAAATAAAATTTAAATTAACTTCTGTTATTTTTTTAATAAATCCCAAATTTCGAAAATTAGTCATAGGGACTTAATTTTCAGAATATAAATTTAGTATTTATATTCCTTTATGAAAATTTTAATTACTTTATTATCTCAATTGCTTGAAATGTTAATTTGTTTAACATTAAATTTATTTGTTAATTTGTTTAACATTAAATTTATTTGTTAATTTGTTTAACATGCTAAAAAAATATTAATTTGTTTAACATTAAATTTATTTGTTAATTTGTTTAACATGCTTGAAATGTTAATTGTTTTAACATTACTTTGGTTAATTAGTTTAACACATGCTTTATATTAATTTATTTAGCATGAAATCAATATTAATTAGTTTAATATTAACAATACTTGTTAATTTGTTTAACATGTATAATATGTTAATTAGGTTAACATTAAAATAAATTTAATATGAATTTGTATAGCATGCAATAAATATTAATTAGTTTGACATTAATTTTATTTGCATGCTAATATAAGTTATTAGTTAACTTATGAATCACATGAGATTGTAAAATCATGATAGATGATTATGTTGTCTTAAACATGATTAAGACGCTTAGCTAGATAATTGAATAGGTTAATTTTCATAATATTTTAATTTTTGAACGATGATTGGGAACATAGTGAACTTTCGACTCCATAATTAATATATATGTTTATTAACTTAATCAATTGATGTTTAGTGTCATAATATGTATGTATGTAGAATATCGTGCCTTGCGTTATTTTTTTTTTTACATGATCCTCACATTATTTTTTATTTTGTTATAGAATGACTACTGCTTCGAAAAACATTGTTGTTGAGCTCAACAAAGGGTTGAAACTCAATGGTGACAATTATGAAATCTGGAGCTTGAAAGTCCAGTATGTGCTAGAGGAGCAAGAGGCTCTAGAAGCCATCAACAATGTCATGAATGAGCTTGAGGAAGGCAACACTGCTCAGCATAGGCATGAGCGTGAAGCCTATGATAGTTGGAAGAAAAAGAACTTCATTTCTCGTATTACGTTGTTGAGCACCTTAGATAATGACATTCTAAGGGAGTTTAAGGATCGCCAAAGAGCTATGGATCTTTGGAATGTTTTGAGGAAAAGGTGTGGTACCTGTTCCACTGCAAGGCCGAGATCCTTAACGATCAAATTTGACTCATGTAAGAAACTCCAAGAATATTCAATGAAAACACATCTGAGGCAAATGACAAATATTATCGGGGAGTTGAAAGATGTTGGTCATGTGTTGACTGATGAACAACAAATCCAAGTTGTCATACGCTCTTTACCTAGTTCTTGAGATCATATGAAAATGCATTTGATCCATAATGAGTGAATCACAGCTCTGAAAAATGTCCGGAGACACCTTGAGTTAGAGGAGGAACGACTTGAGGCTGCAAAGCCAATAGCTGAGTTGCACATGGCAACAACCTCCAAAACCAAGAGTGATTCAAAGAAAAGGAACTAGGGAAAGAAGTGAGGGCCACCTCAAGTTCAGCCTGCTAAAAGAGCAAAGACTGAAAAAAGCAAGAACAAATGTCCCAAACGTGTGAAAGTTGCTAAAGTGAAATGCTATAATTGTGACAAGAAGGGTCACTATGCTAGAGATTGCTCTGAGCCTCCTAGAAAAGTATTTCACGATGCTCGAATTAGTGAACTTTGTGTTTCTAGTTCTATTTTTCTAACTAAATCTAATCCTTTGTAGATTGTAGACTCAGGAGCAACGGACCACATAGCTTGGGAACACAGTGCCTTTGTTGAATTTTCACGAGCTCCACGTGGAGCAAAGTGGATATATGTAGGCAACAATAATAAAGTTGTTGTTGAAGGGATCGGTACATGCAAGTTAGTCCTGCGTGGTGGTCGAGGCCTAATACTA